AAAAATATGACAAACCTAGTCATAATTATAAAAAGTTGAAATTATGAGGTAGATAATCATAATCATAAAAAGTTGAAATTGTGCCATAGAAAGTAAAAAAAATAAAGTTAAAATTAGATATTTCATAATTATGCGATAAAAATTATGACATATTTAGTCATAATTATGATATAAAAAGTTGAAATTATGAAGTAAAAAGTCATAATTATGATAAAGTCAATATTATGAGATAAAAAGTCAAAATTATAACAATCATCAAATCAAATGTGAAATTATGACAGAAAGACATATTTATGATAAAATCAAAATGATGAGATAAGTCATAATTGAGATAAACAGTCAAAAATATGACAAACCTAGTCATAATTATAAAAAGTTGAAATTATGAAGTAGATAATCATAATCATAAAAAGTTGAAATTATGAGATAAGTCACAATTATGAGATAAAAGGTTAAAATATGACAAACCTAGTCTTAATCATAAAAAGTTGAAATTATGAGATGTCACAATTATGAGATAAAAGGTTAAATTATGACATACGTAGTCATAATTCTGATATAAAAAGTTACAGAAGAGATGCGTCAGAAACACTGTAAGATGTTTCGTCTTCTTTGACTGAAATAAGCGTGATGTTCAGTGGAATAAGTGCTGTTATTCCCGTCATTACTCCAGTGGAGGCTGATCTTCAGCGTCTCTCTGTCCTGAAGGAGTAGATGAATTACCTCTGAGAAACATCCAGAGACGATGAACTCATCCGTACTAAACAATCCCAACGTCTCATCAGAGCCGCTCCGCTCATCAGCCTCAGCCTCAGAGGAGCTCACTGCATGACACATAAAAGTGACTTTTCATTGTATTTTGGGGTGAAATATGAAATGATTTGCGAGATGCATCCTCTTACGGTCATTGTCACTCTCTCTCTCGTGTCTGTCTCCAGATTTATCTCCCAGTTTAAGTCGTTTAACCCTATAAAAACAGAGATGTTTCTCATATGTGCACTAGACTCCTTGAATCGGAGACTTTGTTCAGTTTGATTGGGTTTGGTTTGACCCGAAGCAGACTGAAGTGAAGGGTTTATCTGTGTTTACCTCTCAGTTTCCCTCGCGTCTCTCCTTTACGCTGATCCCATCGCGGAGGCTAATGAAAGCAGACAATCCCAATGTAATATAAGAGTCCCCAGAATGTGTCTGTGAAGTTTCAGCTCAAAATACTCCACAGACCATTTATTATATCATTTTGAAAATGCCTATTTTGAGTGGAAGCAGAAACACGCTGTTTTTCGTGCCTGTCTCTTTAAATGCAAATGAGCTGCTGCTCCCCGCCCTCCATGGCATTAGAACTAGTACACCGTTGTTGCTTGCAAAATCAAAATGACGGCACCGTGGGTGTAAACTTACAGATTAAGGGCTGGTAATATTATAATGAGATCCCTTTGCCACGTCACCAAGGGAGCGAAATCAGACGCGCTGGTTTTCTCAGACGCTTGCAGAAAAAGGCTTACCAAAACAAAGTTACTGGGTTAATCTTTTTCACGTTTCCTTGGTTGGTAGATGCACCGGGGACCTGATTATAGCACTTAAAAACTGGAAAAGTCAGATTTTCATGATATGTCACCTTTAAGAAAGTTTAGATGTTTGTACAAGACAAAAATACTAAACAAGAGCCTCATTTTTTTGCGGTGTGGTAGATGTTTCGATGTTTTTACCGCAGTGTCATGAAATCAATGGGGCCTTCTGGTCGAGGTCAGGTATTTAGTTATTCAGTAGTAGTCGAGCGAGAGGCATTAAATAGCGTGTGTGTGGAGTCACATTAGTGTCATAATTCACGCTGCTGTTTACAGCGCACAGCTCTGATGTCCGCCGGTCGATGCTTACGGATCGTTCTGGCACGCTCATTCATCGCTTACACGGCGGCTGTGGTTTCCAAACGTTTTACTGTGACCCGACGTCTCTCACAGCCTGACCTGCTCCAGAAATCATGGCATAATATAATAAATAAACAGAGATTTTATATCAGCTAACAGGGAAGGCTCTGGCAAGTTATGAGCAAACGTTCGTCCAGTAATGTTTAATAATGTTCTCAAAACCTTAGTGAAAACATTTTATTCAGAGAACATTCAAAAGTAACGTTCCCATAATGTTTGCAAAACATGGCAACATTAACGTTCACATAACCAAGAAAAAAATTTATTTGAAACATTTAAAACTTTGAACGTTCATGGGAACGTTAGCAAAATGTTATTTCTTCATCCCGTTTGCATAATTAAGAAATTTTTTTTTTAAAACATTTAAAAATCAGGATGTTTTGAACATTCAGAAATAATGTTTCCATATAAAAACGTAAAACGTTTTTATTCCTGTTAGCTGCATGGGGAATGATCTGTCCTTTAATCAAACATTATTGATACATTGTTCTGAAACGTTTCAGTGGGACGTTCCTTTATATGTTACAACTTCAGAGAACATTCAAAAGTAACATCCGCATAACCAAGAAAAAACGTTTTTAAAACATTACAATCTCAGAAAAAAAGGTACAAAAGCTGTCACTGGGGTGGTACCTTTTCAAAAGGTACACTTTTGTACCTTTTAGGTACTAACATGTACTCTTTAGGTGCTAATATGTACTTTTAAGGTGCCAATATGAAGTCTTTAGGTACAAAGGTTTGCCTTTTGAACGTGATTGCCGCCTCAGTGACAGCTTTTGTACCTTTTTTTCTGAGAGTGTTAAAAACCTGCGCGTTCAGAGAACATTTAAAAGTAATGTTATTTTATCAAATGAACTATAAATAACTTTCAGGCTAGGCTTTCTCAAGCCAACCTAAAAAACCCAAAAGTTTGTCTTTTGATCTTAAATGTTATTTTATTTTCATTTCTTTAAGACCGTTTTATTTATTTAATGTTACTATTATGTTTTTTATTGTTTTGTTTTAGACCCTATTATTTATTTGTGTAATTATTGTAAAAGTGAAATGTTTTTAAACTCTTTTTCTTGCTTATACAAACGTTACATGAACATTCCATTTGATGGGAACGTTACTTTTAAATGTTCTCTGAACGTTCTGAAACAAGTTTAAAAATTGTTTACATTTGTAAAAATGTTACATCTGGCTAAAATGGTTCAGTGAATGATTTTGTGAACGTTATTAAAAACCAGGTAGGTTTGAATGAGCGCTCTATTAATGTTTCTGGAAGAAAAGTCATTATTTACTCACTCTCACGTCATCACAAACCTGTGGGACTTTTTGAAACACAAACAGAGATGTTTAGCAGAATGTTCACGCTGCTCTTTTACACATAATGCGAGTGAAGGAGGAGGTGGATGCTGTCAAGCTCCTAAAAGGAGAAAAAACACCAGCAAATGACATTATATACACAAACATGACATTCTAGACGATCAATATGTAATATTTGGGTCAAGCTGATCTTTGTTTCTGATAAAACACACACGCTGAACGCATTATAAGTCACAGTAAATATAAGCACCCGTGTAAGTTCATCTTGAGGTCCTCAGATGATCACAGATGTCAGGACTAATCCGGAGATTGTGAGAAATTACAATAATCATCCAGAGAAAAGAATCTGACGGCATCACAAAAGAGTGAGCTTCAGAAACGCTCGCTCGCGGTTCTTTGTGCTGAAGTTCCTGTCAATCTCTTCCATCTAGCGGCTCATTGTTACGCGTGTGAATAGAGAACTTTCCATCAGGACAAATAATAGGGTCTAAAATCAAACAAAATTAAATAAGATAAAATAATAAAAAAATAAAATAGTAACAAAATGTATATATAAAAATAATAGGATCTAAAATAAAAATAATAAATATTAAATAAATAAATAAATGTAAAAAAATAAAGGGACTAAAACAAACAAAATAAAATAATAGTAACAAAATAATTAAATAATCAAATAAATAAATAATAGGGTCTAAAAAAAAAGTAACAAAAAATGTACATATAAAAATAATAGGATCTCAAATAAAAATAATAACAAAAATATAAAACAAAAATAAGTTAAAATTAAATAAATAAATGTTTAAAAAATAAAGGGACTAAAACAAACAAAATAAAATAATAGGGTTTAAAACTAAATTTAAAAAACATAAAAGTAAAATAGTAACAAAAATTTACATATAAAAATAATAACAAAAATATAAAACAAAAATAAAAAATAAATTAAAATTAAATAAATAAATAAATGTAAAAAAATAAAGGGACTAAAACAAACAAAATAAAATAATAGTAACAAAATAATTAAATAATCAAATAAATAAATAATACGGTCTAAATAAAAAAAAACTAAAAAGTAAAATAGTAACAAAAAATGTATATATAAAAATAATAGGATCTAAAATAAAAATGAAACTAAATCAAATAAAAATAGAAAAATGGATAAAATAAAATAGTAACAAAAAATTACATATAATTAATAATATGATCTAAAACAAAAATATAAAACAAAAAATTAAAAAATTAAATTGCACTAAATAAATAAATGTAAAAAATAAATAAAGGGTCTAAAACAAAACAAAATAAGAAATAAAATAATATCAATAAACAGCTAAATAAATAAAAACCGCTTAAATTTAAAATAACATAAAATAACTAAATATATGACACAGATAATAGAGTCTAAAATAAATAAATAAATAAATAAAGCATTCACATTTCACAAAAACATCATTCAGACATCATTCTGCTGAAAAATCCCACACTGCACTGCTTTCCATAAAGACACCGATCTCACGGGGAACTTAAAATGTTGTTTGTGATCATTTCACCAGATTGAGGATTAATTCCTCATGATTCAAATACAGATTTCATGTATTATAGAAAGCATATGTTCACATTAAAGGGCCAGCGGTGAACATCTTGTGTGTTAACCTCGTCTGGGACTGTTTATGCTGATATGAAGTAATAAACACTTCATCCACCGTCCAGCTTGCGTTGGGTTAATCTATTCACTCACATAGAAAGCCCGTGAAGAGATAGAAGCCACCAGATTAAGACAATCATGGTTTATTATGAGCGTATGCATCATTTACACAGATCAAGCATCTGCAGAAAAAGTCTTCTTTGATATGACTTCATTCAATATAACGATACATGAGCATTCTTATTAGAATGTTCATCTGTTTTTCCCATCATCCCTCTGGACACCTGATGAAGCGCATGTTTTGCTGGATCCATCAGCTCAATCGTGGTTAATAACGAGAGGTCTAATGATCGTCTCAAACCAGCGCTGTGCCTGTAGATCCTGGGATTTCTCTGAGAGAGTCTCTGCTCTGAAAGACTCGTGAGGGACACAGCATCTCTGTGTGTGCCTGAAACAGTTAAACACATTATTACAAAAACCTCTCACAATAACTAGCTCAACCATTTTTTAAAAATAATTTAACAACACACTTGGAAATGCACAGTTCTCTGATGTTGGTTAATGGTCACATGACACGCCGGTATGCAAATAAAACATTAACATTTGTTTTTATTATTTTAATGTTTCATTTTTAATGTAATTATTTACATTTTTAGCAAGTGTTTATTTTTTACTTATTTTATTTAAAAAATGTAAATTAATATTTACATTTTTAGCAAGTGCTTGTTTTGTTTTTATTTATTTTAATTGTACATTTTTATATAATTAATATTTACATTTTTAGCAAAAGTTTGTTTTTATTTAAATTGTACATTTTTTATTTAATTACTATTTACATTTTAGCAAGTGTTTATTTTGATTTTATTCATTTTAATTGTAATTTTTTTTATATAATTAATATATACATTTTTAGCTAGAGTTTTATTTTAATTTTAATTTTACATTTTTTATTTAATTACTATTAACATTTTAGCAAGTGTTTATTTTGTTTTAATTTATTTTAATTGTAAATTTTTTGTATAATTAATATTTACATTTTTAGCAAGTGTTTATTTTGATTTTATTTATTTTAATTGTACATTTTTATATAATTAATATTTACATTTTTAGCAAGTGTTTATTTTGATTTTATTTATTTTAATTGTACATTTTTATATAATTAATATTTACATTTTTAGCAAGTGTTTATTTTAATTTTATTTAATTGTACATTTTTTATATAATTAATATTTACATTTTTAGCAAGTGTTTGTTTTTATTTAAATTTGACATTTTTTATTTAATTACTATTTACATTTTAGCAAGAGTTTATTTTGTTTTAATTTATTTTAATTTGACATTTTTTATTTAATTACTATTAACATTTTTAGCAAGTGTTTATTTTGTTTTAATTTATTTTAATTTAAAAAATTTATATAATCAATATTTAAATTTTTAGCAAGTGTTTTTATTGTAATTTTAGATTTTTTATTTGATTAATTATTAGCTCAGAGTTTGAGTTTTATTTTAATTTTAATTTGACATTTTTTATTTAATTAATATTTACATTTTAGCAAGTGTTTATTTTGATTTTATTCATTTTAATTGTAATTTTTTTAATATAATTAATATATAAATTTTTAGCTAGAGTTTTATTTTAATTTTAAATTTTTTATATAATTACTATTAACATTTTTAGCAAGTGTTTATTTTGTTTTAATTTATTTTAATTTAAAAAAAATTATATAATTAATATTTACATTTTTAGCAAGTGTTTATTTTAATTTTATTTAATTGTACATTTTTTATATAATTAATATTTACATTTTTAGCAAGTGTTTATTTTAATTTTATTTAATTGTACATTTTTTATATAATTAATATTTACATTTTTAGCAAGTGTTTGTTTTTATTTAAATTTGACATTTTTTATTTAATTACTATTTACATTTTAGCAAGAGTTTATTTTGTTTTAATTTATTTTAATTTGACATTTTTTATTTAATTACTATTAACATTTTTAGCAAGTGTTTATTTTGTTTTAATTTATTTTAATTTAAAAAATTTATATAATCAATATTTAAATTTTTAGCAAGTGTTTTTATTGTAATTTTAGATTTTTTATTTGATTAATTATTAGCTCAGAGTTTGGTTAGTTTAGCTGGTTAGTAGATCATAACTACACCATCTGACGAGATGAATGCACAGCTCTATCAGTCACTAACCAGACAGTTTAGAGCTCCTGCTTTCAGTTTAGTGCTACAACGTGTTTGTGAACAGAATGACTGTAAAGCACATCGTATTTCAGGCAGAAAATGTGACAAAGACGGTGATACATTCTGTCAGCAAGATAAACACGCTGCTGATTCCAGAATAAGTTTCAAACCCCTGCTTGTGTTTGTGATGATGATGATGATGATGATGACGATGAAGGCTGGCTCACCTGGATCAGGTTTCCAGCGGTCACCAGAGCTGATCCCGGTCTGAGGAGATCTGTGCCAAGCGAAGCATGGGAAATGAAAGCAGGAAACGGCATTAGTTTAGTGTTTCATGCAGAAAAGAAAGATAAAGGGGTTTTGAGGTTGATATGGTTTATTTTGAATCGATGAAGACCACCGCAACGCTGGCCAATCAGGAGAGCCTGCGGATATTTAGGATCAATAATTAGGCTCCAGACAGGTTTGGCGAAGCCGTTTAAATAATTGATGGAAGTTGAACGAGCTCGAGTCGTACAGTCGTCATAACCAGCAGCAGAAGGACATTTGCATTGGGTTTCTATTAAAAGCTTCTAATTAAAGCGCTGGTGATGTTCAAGGGTGTTGCGGTGACACACTAGTCATTAATGGGGCTAAAAGCTTCATCTGCTGGTAACAAATGATCCCAGAGACAGATGGATGACCTTCAACAGCAGAATCACCCACAAACACCATCTCAAGATCATCAGGTCATCAGATACTCAGCTTCACATAGTAATACTATGGAAGTCAATGGGTACCGTCACCCGTTTGATTCTCAACATTCTTCAAAATCTCTTCTTTTGTTAACTGTGAGATAAACACAAGAAAAGATATTCTGAAGATTGATGGTAACTAAATAGTTGCCGGTACCCATTGACTTCCATAGTAATAATATGGAAGTCAATGGGTACCGTCACCTGTTTGATTCTCAACATTCTTCAAAATCTCTTCTTTTGTTAACTGTGAGATAAACACAATTACATAGTAATACTATGGAAGTCAATGGGTACCGGCAACTATTTAGTTACCATCAATCTTCAGAATATCTTTTCTTGTGTTCAGCAGAAGACAGAAAGTCTTACAGGTTTGGTGATGATGATCATTTTCATTTTTGAGTGGACTATCCATTTAATAACAACATTTGATGTGCTTTCTGTTTTTTTTTAATCACTATTTATATGCAAGCTTCACTAATAATTTCTGCAGAAATTGACACATTTTTGTCTTGTTTTCCAGTACAAATATCTAAACGTTCTTAAATCTAGATACATTAATACATCAGATATTAAGAAACAAACCTTCAAAATTAAGTGAGTTTTTGCTTGAAACAAGAAAAATATCTATGAAAGAAAAATAATCTTTTATGACCCCATTAGCAGAATTCTTATTTTAAGCAAAAACTTAAATATCCTGGATACATTTTTCAAAAAACAAGTCATTTTGCGTCTCATTTGAATATCTCACAGTTAACAAAAATATGTTGTAAGAACGTTTTAATTTATAAAAATGTTATTTCTGAATGTTTTCTGAACGTCCAGTTTTTTAAATGTGAACATTAAGGAAACATTACATTGTATCATTTTACAAACATCATGAGAATGCTACTTTTGAATGTTCTCTGAAACAATAGTAACATTTAAAACAAACGTCCAACTGAAACATTCCATGAACGATGTATTAATAATGTTTCTGTGCTAAGGTTTCGAGAACGTTATTAAAGACCAGATAACATATAATGTGTTTATTAATAGTGCTTTAAATGATGCACAAAGCAGCAAAACCCCATGGAAGTTTGTTAGACATGAAGGCGCTTGAGATCGTGGTATTGTACCGTGTTTTCTGAGGATCTTCATACCTTGGTGGTCTTGATCTTATTCCCCGTAGCACAGCTCCAGCCTTTGAGATCCGGCAGCACTTTACAGTCCTCTCCATCCAGACACGGATCCATCTGACACCACCACTTCTGCTGGACTATAGAGGCTGAACACA